CAGAAATAATCAAAGGCTGTGGAGTCTTCGGATCCTTGGGAAGACTGTAAAATGTTCCCCTTTCACCGTGCAGCCTGGAACACTGCATTTACGCCCATGGGTCTGGCTTATTTTCAATATAGAAACTACCTGCTTTGTTATTCTTGTAGAAGTAAACCCAAATGTAGGCTATATGGCGTTTTATGGTGGAAGTTTCGAATTGTGAGATTTTCAGAAAAAGGAGGTGCCGATGGGGTTTGAATCCTTATTCATCTATGACAATGTAAACTCGGTTTTACATTCTATGACCCCTTTGAGCCAAAGTTTCCTGCCTTAGATCCCCTAGCCACTGCAGATCTGCACCCATTTTATATTAAATGCTTTTTGAATAATCCCACTGTCTGTCTTGCCTTGATTACTGGGTCCTCTGTTCTGAGTCATTGTAGAATAATCTGGCCAAACTTAGACCTATCGGCAGAGAGACAGTGGCGTTCTGAGGTTGAATTGTGTTTTTTTGCCTCAAGTCCTGCATGTGGGAGATTCTTGATTGCCTACAGGCTCAGGCTGCTTCTGTGTCATCTGTTGTCATAAGCCGTGTCCTTCTCCCCCTGAACTGTTTTAGGGTTATTCTGATTATTGTCGGGTTTTTCTGGCCCGTTTTTACATTGCATTTTCAAATTTTATTCGGATAAAGGCCACCTGCTTCGGTTCTTCTGGTGAGATACGTCACCTTTCAGAGGACCAGGTTTAATTCCTTAACATCAATTTCCTTTTAAAGACTGAATGCTAAAAGAGAACACAGAAGACTTGAACTGATGTTACTTGTGTAAATAGCCTGGATTAACCTTTTTGACCCATTACTGCCTCCTGCTGTGGATGTTTATTTTCATATAATGAAAACCAAAAAAACAGGGTTCACAAATAATCTGCTATTTTTATATTTAGTACTGTCAGATAATATAAATAGAACATTAATACATACTGCTTTTCTGCCCATATTTCTAAATGATTTAATCATTAAACCAGAAAAGGAAAATCTAAAACATTTATATGCTGAAAAAAAAGAGCATACTGAATTTTGTTCAGTGCATTTTAAAGAACAAAACATTACAAACCTGAAAACTTTTAAAAACAATTTAAAAAGCATATAAAAATAAAATAAATTTAAAACAAAATAAATAAAACCAAATGAAATGTTTTTATCTCAGGTGTTTTTAAATACAGTTCAAGAGTTTCTATAAACAAATGAGGAACTTGGTGGTGTCTATTTCAAGCTAGAAGAATCCAGCACTGATCTGATCTGGGCTCCTTGTCCCTTCCTTGGCTCTTCAACCAGCAGGTAGGGACACAGGTCCAGGGTCAGAATGTGACTAAACATACAGCCATCAAACTATGAAAAGAAAAATATTTGTTCAAATTGATCAATATCAAACAATTTTAAAATGTCTGCTGTTGTCTACAAGTTGCTCACATATGAGTAGACTCCAAGAAGGGCGTCACCTTTGGTAAAATACTCCTCCTTCAGAGAAAATGAGCTGCTTGTTCACTTTCAACTCCTCTCTGATGAAGCGTGTCATCTGGAGGAGTCAAATCTAATCAATTATTTAGCAACAAAGGGACAGAGGACATTTTTAGAAAATACTCTCACCACTGGCTAGACAGAAGGGGGGGTTGAGAATGAGATGAAAAGTAGCTTTAAAAAAATGTTTTTAGTAAGCATCTAGAGCCATTAATAGCATATGTATGCATGAGTAACCTTTGTAGTTTTTGATTGAATCTTTTGAGATACAGTTGTTCATTCATTTGTTAATTCAATTATTCATAAGTAGTTGAAGAATAATTTTGCCTTTTGCGGTATGACTGAGTTCCTTCCTATTGTAAAAAAAAAAATGAAATTGCTTCTTCTTACTATGGTTATTAATAAAAACAAATACCCTAAAATTAAGAAATGCTTTATAGGCTACAATCCTTTCAACATTCAATGCTACATATTGGTTTGTTTCTGGCACATCTTCAAAAAAAATTATGAAACTGTTAATAGAGTTCACTTATCTGGCAGCACATCTAGACGAGAGGGTATGCTTTTGGTCATAGTCATGTTGTATGATCCCCTTACGCCTCAGTTTTTCATAACTAATGCTTCCCCCCTTGCACAACACTGATAGAACTTAGTTTTGAGAGTTATTTGAGGATGCAGGATAAACTTGTATGAATGGCCAGACCTAGGCATGTTGGCAGTGGTTTTAATTTGCAACAGGAAAAAAATGCTAATTTCAGTTTCCTTTGAGACCCATTTAAAGCCAGGAGCACACAAAACAAATGTCAAACTGAATAAAACTCCATCAGAATCCTGGCCAGGGATATTCTAATTATCTACCAGTGTGGCAATATGTGTGAGTGGACTCTAATTCACTCAATACTTAGGTATGAAGTAAAACTCATCCTTGAGAAAAATGTGAAATTGAAGTTCTCCATTTTCTATATGTTAATGTCACTGAAAATTGAAAGTTGTTTAACATTAAAGACACACTATAACTTTTGGCTACTAGGGGTTCTACACGTGTAACTTCATGGCTAGCACCCTTAATGGCCATAAGCTCTGCAATACTGTTGCAAAAGTCAACAGTCAGCCTGCCAGCCACCAGTGTCTTGATTGGGGACCACGCTAGGCGTCTAGTTTCAATTTGGAGGGAGTGAGAAACGCTTCTGCTCTCTGGAGAGCACCGCTGGGACAGTCCGGACTGTGCAGCATGGAGCGGAGGACCAGCGGCAGAGCTTCAGCGAAGAACTACTGGGTCAGACGGAACGTTCTTCCAGGTCACATGACCTGGCTAACAACGGTGCATTTCCTCCCATCTTACATAGGTGGTATTTCAAGAGGGGAGCCCTGCTAGTAGCATTGATAGTGTCAAGCGCAGTATATTGACCTGAGGAATCATTTAAAATAACTCATATGCGTCAACTCTATAGGTCACGAAGTCTGTGGTGTGTCTTTAATTTAGCATATCAAATTATGTTAGAGAAACATAAATTAATTTTATAGAATATCAGAATTACCTCAAATGACTACATTAAGGGGAAAAAAAAACATTGATAACTGATAGATGAAATCAATTCTGGTTTTATATTATTTAAAACCAGTGAAATGCTACTGGCAGTTTAACATAAGACTTATAGTCCATACTGTATATAGTATAAACGCATGCCATGGCTGTGTACAGTCACAAACTAATATACCCTGGAGTATGGTACATGGCACTCAATTCAGTCATGAATAATCCAATGTTGTATTGATTCAGTACTGTAACGGGTTAGTAAAGAGTCTATAAAACCTCTTTACCTATCAACTCAATGACACAGAGGAAAAGGAATTTGTTATAAATACAGGAACATCTGAGCTTATGGATGTTTCCTGAATATCAGGAACTGACATGTGCAAGGGATTTTTTTCTAATGGATTCTTTTTTAAAGAATGAGGATTCTCAACAGCAGTCTGTATGCTCGCTTTCTTTTTACTGAGGAAGTTCGATCCATGTGATGATGAATAAGGCAATAATAATGAGGTTGTGAAACTAACAGTGAGACAAAATATCCAACTCTCATTAAAGATGCAACATGGCCTGCTTCCTTTTGCCAGATCTTCCATTTGCCAGATATCCAAGATCTTTGCCAGAACTTGGGGAGAGAGAAGTGGAGCATAAGGTTTCTGGTCTGGCCATTTGCAGAAATCTGACCACCTTATCAAACATGCATGACAGCTCAAGCTAAAAAATGCAATTATTCCCTTTCCTAGCCATAAAAGAAAAAAAAAACATATTTTAAAGTGTATTTATTAGATTTCTACCTTTTTTTTTATTACTGTGGTTTTTTTTAAAATAAAGCCTTGCACACGATTTCCCTAGAATGGTGCAAGCTTTAATTGGCAAATGGCTTCCTGTCTCCAGAGATTTTAAGCCGAGGCATGTCCTTAACATCCACCCTTCACACTTTCTGCTGCTCCCAACAAGATAGAGGTAAAAATTAGAAACATGAGTCAGTAATCTCCCTAACAGGCAGCCAATGGGCTTAACTCCCTTCTAAATCTATAAATCTCCAGTTTATAGAGCCCGAACTGATGGGCTAAAGCACCTGCAGTTTGGGGACAAAGTATATGACCCAGTCATACAAGAGTAGAAGCTTCCAGCGAGGCTCTTCATCCCTCAAAAGCCCCTATTCATGAGATAGACATAAGTCGTTTATAAAACACATTTCAGTTTCTAAAATCAGTGAGCTCAAATGAGTATTTGAAAATGTCAAATTGATGGGGCACTGTGGATCTAAGAATGTAGTTTTTCTGTGTAAAACAGCCCTTGCCTGTTTGTTAAATGAAGATCTTACTGTATTTATCTCAATTGGTTCAATTTAGAATAAGTGTAACCCCAAGAATAGATAACACAAGTGCATCTGAAANCCTTCCTTCCTTCCTTCCTTCCTTCCTTCCTTCCTTCCTTCACTGTCTGTCCACCTTTTCCCATCTTTTATTGAATGGCCATAACGTATACACAGTAATATAACATGACTTTCATGTCATGAACCATTTTGTCCATCAGGTGTCGCCATTGTACCTCACATAGACAACTTTACATCTGTTGAGCAATTACAGAAACTCCTTAGAAATCTAAGGATGATTTAACGCAAAGCTACATAATCACAACGGATAACTGGAGTGCTTAAAGATGCAGTCTTATCTTGCAGCAATTTTCAAACAAGTTTATCCTGCTTGCTGTAAAAAAAATACAAGATCCAAATAAAAGATGTCAGGAAAATGTAAATTTATGCTAATGTCGACATGAAAATCACTTATTTACTCCTTGCAGTGGTATACGTTACTATATTATTTGTCTAAAATGTGAAATGTAATCTTCATTATGAGTGCAAAGTTTGTTTTAGTGTCGACGTTCAGTGGAGATAAACGGGACAGGGAGGGGAATGCGCGCAGTAGGCTGCTTTAGAAACAGGCAAAGCCAACATGCTGTCAGTGACTGCAAAGTGCCAAACGCAGGACAGACTGGCTTCAGAGGACACTCCTCTGTCCGACCCCAACCTCCCCTCTATTTGAGGCGCTTTCTCCCATCCCAACCAATAATGTAAGACTCTATCGGGGAAGATCTCTCAGCTGTAACTTTTATCCCTCGTGACTCAGTTTTCAAGCTTGTAGTTAAGCCACAGCTGGTCATCTGCAAGGATAACTGCTGTGAGATGCGGCAATGTCCCGAAAAACATGCCTACGCGTGAACTCTTTTGACTCCGTCCGGATTTTGGCATTGGTGATTTTTGCTGTAAATGTAATCGAGGCGGATAAGCACAGCTGTTATGAAGTAAGAGCCGCTTTCCAGCAGCGAAACATCGGACCGCTTCACCTGGTGCCAGAGAAACCGCACAAAGGTAAGGCTGGTGGAGGAAGGCAAGCGCATAACGCATCTTCCACAGCGGCATGGCATGGCATGCAGCTTTTATATAAAAACAAATATCTCCAAGCATGTAGATGCACATTTAGATTTAAGGGTTCCATAAAAGTCTTGAAACATGTTTTGATATAGTAATAACTATATCATATATAGTTATTATATCATATATAATAATAACTATAATATTTATAGTTATTACTGTAAATTGTTCTAAAATTACCTTAATATTAAATTTTTGGGTCACAGAATTAAGAAACAAAAACTGAACATAAATTTCTGAAGGAAACTGGGGAATTTAATTGAAGTACTTTGAAAATCCCTAAGGAAACTTTTTTTTTTTTTAAACATTATTAGTATTACACATCCAAACAGTGAAACATTTAAATGTAAAAAAAAAAAAAAAAAAAAAAAAAGAAAGAATCCTGTGAATTTTAAAAAGCTAATTGAGCATTATCAGATGCACACATGTGCCGAATTTTCATAATATCCATTATATAGGTTTTGTTCTTAAAAGCTCCAGTCAGATACCCAATAAATGAATCAGTAAATGATTGAACATGGGTTTAACTACTCAGGTCTGATATTTAGGAAGGCCACGCATCATACAAATGTTTTTTAAGATTTTATTCTCTCTCTGTTGTTGAAGACACCATGAAAAGTACAAAAATAAAGAATATAAAACATTTCACAAAAATACATTTCTCTGACTACACACAAGAAAATTGATCAAACTTGATTAAACAGGAGATGGATCCTACATGCTAAATTATCAACATGAAAGATTCAAATAATCAACACAAGTTACCGTGTGCGCCTTTCAGACCAACGTAGAATAGTCTTTTCCTCTTGAGTGGATCAGTAGCGTTGATGCAATGCTTTCATGTGTCTCTGTAGCCGTATTGGATATCCCATAATTCAGTTCAAATCCACTAACTGGACTAGAAATGTGACCTTTATTCACATACAACTCAAAAACTGTAAATTAACTTTACTAAATCAATTAACAGAAATATTTTTAAATTATAGAACTATCCTAACCAAAGACAAAAGTATTAACTCTTAACTATCCCCTGGACAGTTACAATATTCCAAAAATATTCTGATCCAATTGGATATTTCAGTGCATGGTTTTACAAGTTTACTTGATTTCACATTTACTTCAAACTAGTTACACTTACTAAATGTTATAAAGCACAAACATATTTGTTTCCCTTCATATAGTCTTGCTTTAACTACTGATGATACAACACCTGTGGTCAAAATAGGCCCTATCTTTTCTTAAACCTTTATGCCAATATGGTTGAATAATGTGTGCTACTACATACTACTTCAATCTGTTATTGTGAATATCTGACTGGAGTCTGTAAAGGGAGTGGTGGCCCTGTGGTTAGGGCATAGGGCATGGAATCCTGAGGTTGTGAGTTTGAAACCCACTTCCACAGACTGCCACTCTGGCTCTGTGAGCAAAAGATTCTCAACCCCACACTGCTCCCTGGGCGCTGCAAAATGACAGCCCACTGCTCCCCAATGGGATGGGTTAAATGCAGAGAGTTAATTTTGTTGCTCTGTACTTGTGACAGTGTAATGACAATAAAAACACTGGAAAACAGTGTTGATCAAGTCAGTCCCTCTTTAGTACTCTATGGCAAGCCTTAAATGATTTTGGTATGGGTTTTAACAAAGGCTACTCTGATGGAATAATAGAGTTTTAGAATATGTTTTGGAAAATACACTGCAGGAACACTGCTAGGCCTACTTGTATGGATCTAACTGATAACCAGTTAGAAAAAAACACCTTTCAATGGTGAGGATGTAAGTCCTTTTAGAAACTTAGACAAACAGTTATGGATATTTGATGATAAAAAAAAAAATGTCTGCAAAATACCATACACACTGCTAAAAGCTTTTATAGACTGGAAGCCAAGATAATGTTTTGTCTAACAGAGATATGCCAGGGTAAACGATTTCTTATTTATTGAACAGATTGGATGAATTGATCCTTCCTTCCTTCCTTCCTTCCTTCCTTCCTTCCTTCCTTCCTTCCTTCCTTCCTTCCTTCCTTCCTTCCTT